CACAGTAGGGAGTGACACAGGAAGCCTTTGAGAAGGAAAGTGACATGGGCCTAATTGCTTTACACAGTGTTATGTGTTGAATTGTGTCACCACAAAAGTTATGCCAAAGTCTAAAACCCCAGTACCTGTGACTGTAACCTTATTTGGAAATAGGGTCTTTGTAGATATAATGAAGTTAAGACACTGCCATACTGGATTAGAATAGGCCTAACTCCAATGACTGGTGTCCTTAGAAGGAGAAAGAGTTTAATACAAACACACACACACACAGATGAGAGATGGCAGAAATTGGGATGATGGAACTAGAAACCTAAGAGGCCAAGGATCGCCAATCACCACCAGAAGCTAGGATGCAGGTATGGAATGGATTTTTCCTTGGAGTTTTCAGAGAGAACATGGCCACAGCGACACCTTGATTTTGGACTTCTATCCTCCAGAATTGTCAAGCAACAAATTTCATTGTTTTAAGACAATCATTTTCTGGTAATTTATTATGGCCACCCTAGAAAACTAATACAGAGTGGTTGCCATAACCACAGTGTATGGAATGAACAAAAGGTAAGCAAGAGTAACCCGGGCGACAGATCAGAACTGTGACAGTGAGGATGGCAAGATGCCGATCATGGTTAAAGTTATTTAGGGGCAGAATCAACAGGATTAGTTATCAGTGATGTGGGCATTTCACAACAGGAAACAGCTAAGGATAATGACATTGTCCAAATTTCTGATTTGAGAAACACTTGTTGCTACAGCGATCCCTTGAAAAGGAATAGATTTGGTTGAGGGATGGAATGAAAATGAGTTTACTGTTGTTCAAGTGCTATGCGGTGCACCTGAGTGATACCTAAGCAGCCATGCCCCCATAGGAAACTGAGTCTGGAGGTTAAGACAAAGTTTGGGATGGAGATATAAATATGTTAATGTTGTATGACACTTTGTGCTTCTCCCATAATATCACTTAGCACACTCTATTTTCATCACCTGTTTACCTATAAATCTTCAACAAGAAAGTAAGCTGAGACCAGAGAATTGAGAGAACAACTTCTTTTGATGAACCACTGCTCTCCCCAACAGGCCAACCTTTAGTATCCCTACTTCTCCATCATACAGACAGAATAGCAATAAAAAACCCACAAATTTTGGTTCTTCTTTATTAGTTCTTCTAGAAGAAGCCAGCCCTAAGTAATGGCAGCTTTTAGACTTTGGACTTTAGCCTGAAATCTAGGACAATGTGGAAAAAAATCCCACAAGCCATTCTGTTACATTTTACATAGATTATCTATTATAATCCTCATGCAAACAATCTTCACTAAAAAAAAAAAAATTGATTATAATCCTCACTAAAACCCAAAAGGAACAAAACAAAAACTCTGAAAGTCTCAAGTCCACAAAAGAGAGAAGGGTCCTAAGGTTAGAGATGTGAGCTGGAGCTGGGTAGGAGAGCTCATGAAGGACTGGGTGAAGGAGTCTGCTGGTGGCCCCATAGGGACAGAGACTGGGATTGAGCCTTTCGTAAAGCCAGAGCCCTGGAGTGTTTCTGTTGCCAGGAGGGGGAGTCAGCAGATGTGACAAGCATTAGAATTGCACCCTGAAGGTGAAGGTAACAATTTCATTTCAAAGAATTTGATATTTTTAAAATAATAAAAGAGATAAAATAAAAGAGATAAATAAAGTATAAATAAGAAACAATATATAACATATTTGAAAAGAATAATATAATAATAGTTAACATTCACTGAACAGAGTATTTGCCAGTCATCATTCTAATATGCATACAAACTGTCTACATTATTTGGCTTATTAGTCACCTCAATCCAATGTGGCAGATACTGTTATTCCCATTTTATAAACCATAAACCTGGAGCACAGAGAAGTAAAGAAAAATAAGATGACGCATGTTGTGAATGATGGAGCTGGGATTTGACCCCAGGATGTTTCATTTCAGTGCACACACTCCTAACCACTGTGGCATGCCAAGCTGAAATTCTAAAAATATATTTTGAAAAAGTTACTGGAATCTATTCAGTGGATGGATTGAATTTAAACTTGATACAATTGAAGGGTGAAGTAGAGAACTGCATGATGGATCCGAGAGAATATGCCTAGATTCCGTTACAAATGGAGCACAGAATGATACAAAGAACATACAAACATGAAATAAGAATATAAGGACGGTAGGATGAAGAGGGTAAACCTAGACTAGTAAGCATTCCAAAACGAGAGACTAGAGAAAGTGGGGGAAAGGAAATACGCAGAGCTAATGGTGAGGATTTTCTAGAATTGAGGAAAACTGCATTCTCAGAAGAAAAGAACACACAGAGCCAAATGATAAAAAATGAAACATATATGCACTTACAGAGATTAGAGTGAAAATGCAGAGGAACATTAGAGATGAGTACCGAAGAAAAAAGGCATTACCTATGAAGGAATAGCAATTTAACTGATCACAGGCTATGCATGCCAAAAGACAATGGAGTAATAGTTAACATGCTGAGGAAAAAAATAAATTTAACCTAGTTTTCTATGCATAACCCAAAACTCATTCACATATAGGCAAAAAGTATAAACAGATCATCGCTGAACAATTACTAAAGGATAAACACAAAAGGAATAAGCTGTGTGTAACAAGCAACAGTGGGCAAAGACAGTAAGTCCTCACTTAACGTCGTCTATAGGTTCTTGCAGCTGCAGTGAAATGATGTATAGTGCAACCAATTTTACCACAGGCTAATTCATATGAAGAGTTAAGTTCCTATGGCGCTACATCGTTATAACTAAGTGACATTCTTCAAGGACCTGCTATAATAGGTAAACCAAGTTACTAAACCTAAGTAAGTAGTGTCTGAAAAAATATGGTAATAATAATGACTAATATGTGGGGATTTACCAAGCAAGTGGAACTGTATACTAGAAAACTAGACAGAGGTAGGTAAGAGTAATTTGGCGTTAAACATACAAAAATCTTTATATTATTCAAGAAGAGGATAGAACTATTGATTAACATGATAACATGCTAGATATAAATATTAAAAATTTAAAGACTAATTTTAAAAGAATACAAAAAGAAGGCAAAATTTCTAAAGCAAGGAATGGCACAAGTGCAATTTGTATGACAGTAGAAAGAAAAAAAAAATATATATATATATATATTGATCCCAAATGAAACAGAATGAGATTTCACATGTAAAATTTTAAACACAAATGAAACAATGTATATGTGTTTATGTTTATATATGGATATGTTTACTGTACATATATATGTACACACAATACAATTTAGACACATGAGCAGTGAGGAGGCATACAGCCAACTTTAGGATGATGATAGAATGAATTCAATCTAGATAGAATACCATTAGCTTAAATTTTGATATAAGAGCAAAATCTGATAACTTTCCATAAACCATATCCCCAAGGTCACTTCTTGACATATTCTAGGAAGGTGTTTTCACTGTAAAAGTTTTCTGTAATTGACACCAAAATTCAGTGGCAATAAGCTACAAAAGAAAATCTGTCAGTTCTCATTATGCTTTATTTTTTGGTGTTCCACTTGTGATCTCATTAGAAATTAGAGAAAATCTTTCTGGGTCTTTGTCTCTGCTGGAAATGACAATTTCCACAGGGGCAATTATTCTTGGACCAATAAAATCAGGTGGTATTATTCTCTAGAATCCTCTATATATACAATAATCAAGGGAAAGAAAGAGTCAAGTACAAATGACATGTTTGTGCATTTTACACTAGGGAAGTAATGTTTATTGCATTCTTTTGTGCATCTCCATCAAACATGGTATTTCTTACAACTTTGCCACTGGAAAAATCTAATGGCAAGTACGTGATCATCAGATAAGGATCAAATCAACTCAGTAAAAGAAAAAAGACAGTCAAATTCACTTAGTTCTGAATTTTTATAAGGTCATCTGGCCTGAATAAGGTGATTTATCAAAATCTCTATTTTGTTTCTGTAGCTGTGAAATAGTAAAGAAAAGTAAGACCTGACATCTGGTGGTGGCTTCAAAAAATAAAAACTCCCTAAACTATTTCTTTATAATAATTTTAAGCAAAATGCTTATAATGCATTTTTTTGCAATAAAGGCATAATTTGAAATGGAAGCAAAATTGACTGTTCTAAATATTTAGGAATAAATTATGTCCTATTGCTATTCTCTTTAATAGACACTTCTGCACCTGGAATTTGATGCAAAAATAAATATTGATTCTTATTTGAGAGGCTTGTTTACATATAGCACTGAACTTTGAAAACTTATTTTACATATACTAATAATTGAGATGTGTTGCTTATTGGAAAACAAGAGTAGACTACTCAAATATATTTGCCATGCATCCTGTGTGATGAGTGGTACAAAGTCAACTGGGTTTTTCTTCCACAGTAGACGGGGTAGCAGGGAACAAGGGCTTGCTTCTTGAGGTCTAAGTTTACAAATGGAGTATCATGACCTAGCACTTCACCTCTACAAGTCCAGCCTTCAGAGCCCACCTGGAGTGAACTTGGATGTGCATCACCTCCATGCCTACGTCCTCCTCCGCCTCCATTACCATAACCAGCAGTGACAACAACCAGCCAGACATGAATCCCAAAAAGCTCCATTGCCTTCTGAGATGTAGTTTGCATAATCAGGTTTAGGGAGTTCAAAATTCTCAACCAATCATCTTCTTATGATTTTCAGTCAAACTTGTACAAACTAAGCTTAGCAGAGACTTCTCCCTCTCCATTAGAGTCTTTATAGAGCTTGCAGTTAAGAAACAAAGATGAGAAATGTTCCTATTAAAAAATGATTTATTATATACATTAACCACCAATCAATTCCACAGGCTGTCTATACAGACTACAAATCCAGCTGGAAATAAATAAAAATGATCATCAAGGGTCCTGCTGTTAGAATAAGCACTAAAGAGCTTATTTTGCTAGGAGCTCAATCTTTAAGACAGGAATTTATGTAGCACTCAACGAAAAATCGTGTAATGTGTGATCTACTTACCCCTGCAAGGCTTTCTCTCCAAACCAATCTCCTTTTCCTAAAGTTCTAAGAAAGACTGGGTCTTCGCTTGGTGAGTCTTCACGAGTGACATTTACCTACAAAGAGAAACAATGAGTGTCTGTATTCCTTGTATACCCTGGATGACCAAATGAACACTAGTTGATAATGTTCATTCCATTTCTTATTTCTTTTTTTTTAAACTTACTTTTATGAAGAAAATTAGCACATTATCACATAAGGGACCAAAAAATAATGACATAGAATTCCCATGCAAACCACAAGTAATGACTTCCAAATATTTTGTTATAATTTCAAGTTGTTTTCAAGACATAATAAATTCTTCAGAAATTTGAATTTCATTTATCCTTGTCCCTGTTCCCATAAGGCAACCACTATAATACATTTAGTGAACATTCTTCCAATCCTTTTTTTATTTGTTTATATGCATGAGTTTTTAAAATATATGAACAGCATAATATGGTGTGTATCATTCTGAGCCTTACATATTTTTAACATTCTTTTATTTATTCTATGCTATTAGATATAAATATAGTTCATCCAATGCCTTTTTCCTCTCCATAAAAATACTTATTTATCCATTTTCTTGTAGATGGACCATTACATTGTTTCCACTTTTTTGTTATAATGAACATCTTTCTATACACCTCTATATGCAAAATTCAGATTCTCTAGAATATGCCTATCTCTTTCCTTAAGAAAAATCCAGCTTCATTCAAAAGCCAGTCACATTTTCATGATGCCTTCCTGTGAGTCTCCCATCAACTTTAGTCCCCCTATCCTCATGATCCATATGCTTCATTTCAGCAATGTTTCTTTTTCTAAAGATATAAAATTACATATATGTCTCTATTAAATCACAATAACAGTATGTTCTTCAAAGAAATGGGCATTTCTTTGGCATTCTATACAATTCATAATAAGCATATAATAAAGAGCTGTAAATTGTTTGAACAGAAAAGTTCTTTACTAACAAGGTAACCCAGCCCACGCAGGACTTGTGACTTGTGTGACAGTCCACAGAAGGCAAGTAATGTTTTTACTGCATGAATGAAGACAGAAATGCAGTAAGTTTTACCTTTGGGTTAACTCACTTCCTCCCCCAGATCTACTAATCTTCCTAAAACTGGCTATGTGTCACCCAGAAAGGTTAAATACTTAAAATACACCTGCCTGGAAAATGAAGTAGAGAAACTAATTTCTTGAGACAATGCCAGACACTTAAACACATTTAAAAATACTATGCTTCGGGTTTTTGAATTTAGAGAGAGGATGTCAAAGACCAGAATTTTTATACATATTAAGGAGGTCTGAGAGGTGGAGGGAATTCAATTATAATTCTCCACTGATGCACTTGATTACTCCTCTACACAGTGTTTCAAAACCATGGAAAACAGTGTTTTAAAACCATGGAAAACAGTGTTTTAAAACCATGGAAATGCAGTTTTTACCACTAAGGTCTATCATAGAGATGCTCATTTGTATGTTGATAAGGCTTTTACTGATGTAAATAGAGATACACTAGCTCAGAGATTCTCAAACTCCTGTGTGTGTGTGTGTGTGTGTGTGTGTGTGTGTGTGGCGGGGGGGGAGGAGTTAGGATGAACTTCTTATTTAAAATAAATGTTCCTGAGGTTCTGATTTAGTGGGTCTTGTAAAGCTGAATTTCAAAACTTTAATGTAGGTGAGTTAGATACAAATGTTCTACAGACCAATCTTTGACAAACATTGACACGTTGTTGTCTTTCTGAACCTCAGTTTTCTCATCTGTACAATGAGGCAATTCAACAAAGCCATATCTGTCCCTACTCCTGGCTGTTAAAAAAAAAGTCATGAATTAAGGCATAATATACTATAAGTTAAGATCATTAATTCAAAATTAGATATAAAGATATATCATATAACTGTACATTCACCATTTGGTTAAGAGAAAAAAAGATTAGAAATTCAAAATGGTAGATTAATGCAAGCCATGGAGAAATTTCAGTGGATTTTGAAAAGTTCTTTAAACAAGATGTTATTGCAATTTCACTGGCATAGACATTCAAGAAATGGGCTACCTCCAGAAGAAAGTATTTTCCGCTTATATGATTAATGTGAGAGAAAACCTAACTGGATAATCCATGAATATGAAAAGATAAGCAGCTCAAAGAACAAGAATAAAAGCTTCCCTTTAAAGTTTTAATTGTCACAGTTTTTCTTTGTATGTATAATGACTCATTCTAAATATGCACAGACACCAGTCATCGATGTTTGCATCTTTAATT